TACACTTTTTTTAAATAAAGAATATCAGCTGAGATCTTCATTAATTCATTAACTGATCATAATTCCAAAGCTATGATATCTGTACACTTGGATTGAAAATACAAAACAACCATTTTAATTTTTGAGATAATAGCTGGACACCACATGCTGAATTAAACATGGAATGTCAATGTGACCGTAGTGTAATATTCCACTGTTGGCATACTATGGCATTTCATTCTAGAATACTACTACATGCATACTGATACTGAATATTCACATTCTTAATTTATTATTTAATTCGAATTTCAACTGTTTTTTTTACACAAAAGTGAATGAAAATGCAAAACAAATGTACTTATTAACTTGCATTAAATTGATCAAAAGTGATAGTAAAGATATTTATAGTGTTACAAAATATTTATATTTCGAATGATGCTTCTTTTGAACTTTTTATCAAAGACTCCTGAAAATAATGTATCATGGTTTCTACAAGCACGTGACACTGATGATTTGCCATCACAGGAATAGGTTACATTTTAAAATAAATTACAATGTTAAATTGTAATATTTGACACTATACTGCATTTTCAATCAATTAAATGCAGTGAGCACAAGAGGTTTAAAATATTACCAACCCTAAACCTGTGTATGGTGTGTTGTATAGTATAATAACATAGTAATAAAAAATAGTAGGTAGATATGCAGTTCCTACTGCGAATTATTCAATAAGCAGGAGGCTAGTATTCCATTCCAAACATAACCAGAACACACCATCCATCAACAACAACGAGCCTTTGACAAATTATACCTTTGGGATTGTCTTGAGATTTGTTCAGTAACACTGTGTATTCAATCTCAGTCTGTCTCAATTTGAGCCTGACTGCTATGATGAGAGAGTAGACAGATGAGATGAATGATGAATTGTTCTGGGTTATTTGGGAAGTGTGAGCATTGTTTGTGGGTTGTATGAGGGTTGTACGGGTGTGTACTCACAGCCATGATGGAGTCTGAGCTGGAAAAGGCCCCAGAATCTCCACCTCCTCATCAGTGGGCTGACAGCAGCTGCACTCCCAGCACCACTGCCAACAGGAGCGGCACGACCAGCGACACAACAGGAAGTCAGACAGTCTGGACAGAAGACCCTGAGAACAAGATCACAAAGGGACACAAAGACTCTCCAGTAAACAGCGACTGACTGGCCTGCACCGGATGCAGACTATACATATTATGATGATAAAAATGGTAATGTATGATCTGTGCTTAAGGGACTTTTTTGTAATTCTCTGGTCAACAGCCCCAGAGAGATTCTTACATCTTTAGTGAGACTATTCTAGTGGGACTTTGAAGTAAACTGTACAAGTCAGAGCTAATCCACCAAAAATCGAGTGATTTAATTAGATATACACACCACCAAATTAATTTTTTAAGGAAAATAATACTTGTATTCAGCATGGATGCATTAAACTGATCAAAAGTTGTACACAGCAATAAATACATCTATAATGTCAGAAAAGATTCCTATTTCAAAAATAATGCTGTTCATTTGAACTTGCTATTCAGCAAAGAATCCTGAAAAAATGCCTCACAGTTTAAACAAAAATATTAAGCAGTTTTTTTCAGCATTGATAAATATGAGAATTAAGTAAGTACATTAGAATGATTTCTGAAGGATCATGTGACACTGAAGACTGGAGTAATGATGCTGAAAATTCAGCTCTGCCATCACAGAATATATTAAAATAGTACTAATATTTCACAACATTAATGTTTTAATGTATTTTTGATCAAATAAATGCAGCCTTTGTGAGCATAAGTGACTTCTTTCAAAAACATATGCAAAAACAATTTTGAACGATAATGTAAACACAATTTTCTTCCCCATGGTGATATGTTTTCAAATAAAACAGGAAGTTGGGCGGGACAAACATCCTTCAGTCACTCAGTGTGACCCTTATTAGGTAGACCAGAACTTAGGCCAGATGTTTGGATAGAGGTCCTTCATGAAAGACATATTAGTCTTTTTACAACACAACTTGCTTCTCTTTGATTTAGACTGACTGACTCCAAAGAGACAGAAGAACACAACAAAATCACGAAGATTACTCGCTCCAAAAAGCCAAGTCACTCTCACTTCCGCTGAGGCTGAATGTGTGCATAGTTGGTTGAATAATGAATGACTTGAGACAGGATGCTGATGGTTAAAAACATAAAAATTCAGCCCAAAAGATAGAAGGAAAAGGTCAAGATACAACTCTGATTTTGTAAACACAATCTTTTACCCCCTAAATCGGCATTAATGAACAGATACGATAAAATAGGAGATTGAATTAATACATTTTCTGTACATACCTCATTGATGGGTTCCAACTGCCCTTTTTCAAAGGTGGGTTTTTCAGAGGGTCGAGGTCACGCACAGGAAAGAGAAAAAAATGTTTAGTGAGTGAACTGGTGTCTTTACTGAACTTTCACTTTTTTGTATTCATATAAAAATACAACATTTTAATAATTAACTTCAATGAAACCTGTTAGAAATCTTTTGCATAATTTTATTTTAAAAATAATTATATTAAATGTTTTTTCTCTTGCTCATGTCTTCTAAGACATACAATATAGTTGTTAGGGGGTCAGTAAAATCTTTTCTTTTTTAAAAGAAATTAATACTTTTTTTCCAGCAAGGATGCATTAAATTAATCAAAAGTGACAGTAAAGACTATTTTAAAACTTTATATTATTTTATATCTTCTTTTATATAGTAATAACATATTTATATTTTAAATCAGTGCTGTTATTTTCAACTTTCTATTCATCAAAGAATCCTGAAAAAAGTATTACAGTTTACACAATAATATTAATCAATACAACTGCTTTGTCATCACAGGAATAAATTACATTTTTAAATATATTAAATTATAAAAGTTATTTGAAATTGTAATTTTACTGTATTAATTTTTCTGAAATAAATGCAGCCTTGGTGAGCATAAGAGACTTCTTTCAAAAACATTAAACATTTAATCGACCCCTTTGAACAGTAATATATGTTGCTAAGTCACATGCTAACTGATCTGTAAATTAAAAAAAATTAAAAAAATTAGTTGTAATGTTAATGCCACTACTACTGGTCAGACTATAAGGGACAGGGTCCAAAACACAGAATTTTATAAGATCAACACATCTGATTGCTTATCCACTCATCCCCCAACCGTCCAGTTATTTACCCCTTCCTCTCAACACTTGTGAATATCTACAGGTTGATTTCTCTGCAGTTCCCCACCCCTGTTCCTGCTCTCAATCTCAGTCCAGCTCTCTTGCTCCTCATCAGTGGCCCAATGTTGTCTAAGCAATTAGCTGTGGCTGTAACCATGGCAACAGAGATAGGAGCTCCTGGCGCTCCCAGCCCGCACCTTGCTGCCGCTGGCTCAGGCACAGATGACTCATTAGGGTTACTGAGATGAAGGGGGGCGACTGTCCCTAGGTCCACACGGCCAGTTCCAGCAACTGCTATTCCCATACCATGAATCACAACACAGCATACAGACACAGAAATACACAACCACAGAGCTTAAACATCAAAAACAAACTGCGTTCACACTTTAGACAAAAAAAAAAAAAAACGTCCCTGAGTCTGTCTGTATGTCTGTTATGATCGAAAATATTAGTAATGGATTTACTCATTAGCCTTAAATGAGATTCGTTACTTGAAGAGATTAATTGATTCTGCTAAAACGACTCTGTGAGTCTATACAATATCCTGAAAACCACAGAAATCAATGGCCATTTAGTTTTTAACACACATAAAACAGTTTCCACAGATGTAGTTTGAATATGAAATCATCAAATCCTTATATTTCATAAATAATAAGACATTAAAGTGAATAAATGCACACAAATAATACATATACAACTGAAACGGTTTAAGGCCTTGACCAGAAACAATCATGAGATGAAAGATTCAGAATCAGATTATGAACAAATGTCAGAAAGAAGACAAATATGAAGATGAAAAGAGTACTCCAGAAAGATCCGGATGGGAAAGAGTGCGTGATGGGACTCACCTGTGTGTACGCCATCCTCCTCTTACTCTCGCCCCACTGTCTCTCTTCCCATCCAGGGCAACATGCCACTCTCTGGATCCAGGTTTACTCAACAAAAGAGGGAGAAAGAGCGAAAGAGAGAGAAACAATCTGTAGATATGAATCGAGTAATGAATTCAGGTCTCTGTGGACTTGGTTCCTCCATCCATCCTTACTTCAAGAGTGATGATGAGCCAAATACAAAACAAACAAACCCCCTCTCCCTCAGTCTATCTCTCTATCTCTCTATCTATCTCCTCTTCCTCCCCATCATCTTCAATCCCACCCACCCAGACACTCCTAATCTCCCTCTCTTTCCTGCCTAGTCCTCACGAATAACATGCAAGACAGCCAGCTCTCCTCTCCTCTCCTCTCCCTGGAGAGAGCAGAGCCCTCCTCCCCTCTTTCCCCCGCTGCCCTGTGTTTCTTTCAGAGACCAGTGACTCATCCAGGTTTGCAGAAGCACTGATGGATATCAAATTTGTTATGTGCATCCCTCCCCGCCTCCTCCAGCCTGTTTTTACAGCAGCTCGCTGGCTGCAACCACTTGTTGTTCCTTTCACCGCGGACCGAGTGGAGAGGCTGAGGAGAGACGGGCAGGTGAAAGCACAACCCAGTCTCACGGCAGTTCGTGATAAAGCAACACGTTACATGGGGAGTTTACAAGAGCCGGGGTCTGTGTGGCTACCTGCTGCTGCTCTGTGACTGAGGTACGCCGACGTGCTGCCGTCTTTAAAACATGCTTGTGTTTGGAGAGCCTGTGAGTTGTGTTATCTGTATATGACAGGATGGTCATTTGTGGTGCAGCATTGTAACATGAGTGGGTAGATCACAAGGAACTTTAAGTTTCCTTGGAAACGGCAGGGGCACATGACCTGTTGCTGAAAGGCCTCGCTCATCAGGCATGTATGGAGCACGTCAGGTTATGGGGTCTAAAATTTCAGAGAGTGTTGGACTGAACTACAGCGGCTGAAAAACATACACTACAGTTCAAAAGTGAGTTTTTTTCCCTGAAAGAAATGAATAGCTTTATACAGTAAGGAAACAAAAGATTTATTTTACAAATACATGCTATTTTGAGCTTTTGAGCAATCTATTTACCAAAGAATCTTGAATTTAAAAAAATGTAGTGTTTTTCACCAAAAAATTAAGGACAACTGCTTTAAACATTGGTTATAATAAGATTGTTTTTTAAGAAATGTTGAGCAGCAAATCAGCATATTAGAATGATTTCTGAAGGATCATGTGACTAAAGACTGGAGTAATGATGCTGAAAATTCAGCTTTGCATCACAGGAATAAATTACCATTTAAAAATATATTCAAATAGAAACAATTCTTTGAAATTGTACTAATATTTCACAATGCTACTGGTTTTACTCATTTATGATCAAATAAATGCAGCCTTTGTGAGCAAAAGAGACTTCTTTAAAAAAAAAAATCATACATTTTGTACAAAAATAAATGTGCAAGGAATATATTATTTTTTTTGTTTTTACAAAATAACTAGTAAAGAAGCCAAAAAGTAACACGGGCAAGGAAAAAAGTAAGATGTTTAAATAGAAGAGGAAGGAACACTGGGTGTACTGTAAACAGTCCCTAGTGAAAAATAAAGTTACTATAATGTATTTATTTGAAATACATTTATTTCATGCTAAGTATACTACAAATACATTTTTATGTACTAAATAAAAATACCCCATAATTTTTGGTATACTAAACTGGTATACTTAAAGTCTGCTAAATTGGAACAACTAATTTTGTACTTAATGCACTTTAATTGTGCTGAAGTCCAACTAAAGATATACTGAAGTATATTTGATTGTGCTAAAGTGGAACTATTGCAAGTATAAGATCATACAACCCAGGTGAAAAAGAAATATATTTAAATTGTGCTTTTTCAGACATACTATATTTAAATTATACTATACTAAGTGCATATTAAATGTATTATTTTGAAACAACTTTAAGTATATTAAGTGTATTTCAAGATATGTTTAAGTTTGATTTTAATCTATTTGTAATATATTTAATATATTGAAATTGTGTTAAAATGGAACCACTTTAAGTATATTTAGTGCAATTTAAGTGTATTTCTTAAAATACATTTAAAATGTCCTTTTAATACTTCATGAACTACAGTTAGAGTATATTTGAAGCATCGTTTTAATGTACTTCAAGTACATTTCAATTGTATTTCAGCTCATTGGAAATGCATTAGCATTACACTACTAGTATATTATAAAGCTGCTTTTTTCAGTATATACACTACTTGAATTTCAAGTATATTTTTAATACATTTAATACTACGTCTTTTTCACCTGGGAATCCTCATCAAGTGACATTAAAACACATTTTAGGCTTAATATTAAGAAATATACATTGTGCACCAGTAGTAGACCTACTTCAAATGAAGTTGAAGTGTAATTTTTATATCAGTAAGTCTCGAGCAATATGTCAGTAAATATGTTAATAGATTTGAACTATACTTAGTATGAGAGATTGTGTGAATTCAGGCGTTTTGTTTGTTTCTGTTCTTGAGAACCTGTTGAAAGGCTTGACTGATAAAAATCAAACATAGACTTACAGTGACCTCTGCTGCCACATCAGGCATCTTTCTGCTAGTTCACCTAAATATGATAATTTTGTAATTTTCCTGACCGTCTTGTCTTTTGACCCATATGACTTCCACAAAAGAGTTACAGTGCTGTGTGTGTATAGTAAAATGTCCAAGCTACTCTTTTCTGTACAATTAAAATGGATGGTGACCACAGCCGGCAAGCAAGATTTCAAGTAAATAACTTATTCATGACGTAATTTTCAGTCTGTTCCACAGCTATCATTTGACTTCAGAAAGCTTGGAAGATAGTTGCATTAACTTTTATGATGCCTTTTTTTGGGTCTATTTTGGAGCTTCACAGACACAGGTATATCGTTGGATCTGTGATGAATTGCTAATATTCCTCTATTGTAAGTCATTTGAGCATTCAGGTTGAACATGAAGCATATGAGGTAAATGATTACAGAAATGTTGGGTAAAAATGTAGGTGCAATATATCCACTCTAAGTCTAAATGACTGGGTTCATTGAGAATGTATAAGGCCCACCTACACCCAAGACATCTGTCACATTTGAAATCATTATCAGAATGAGCCAGACACTATACAAATACAAAGCATTTAATCTTGCATACTGTGAGATTGTTTAAAAAGCAGAATTATGATCTTTTTATCCCATATTACTTGTCCCCCAAACACATACTGACCTCTTGTGGCACCCAATCATGCGTCCATGACTACAGCTGTGATCTGCTTTGCCAACAAATCAAATTCTGTAAGCAAATGCATAAATTAAATGATAATTAGAAAGGATGAGATGATATCCTTATGTTAGAGAGCACCAGCTTAATGCCACACTATAATTTAGAATGAGCCACATTGCTCTAAACATAACACTCAATTGAGAATAAACACTGACAAACAAGACTATACAGAAGATAATTACTGTGACTGTGTCTGAGTGGAAAAAAAATGTTTAGTATTATGAAAAATAAAACATTTAAATAGAGCAAGTTGAACTGTGTCATGTGACAAATGTATAGACTGCACTGAGAAAAAGTAGGTCATCTAAACATGGATTTTTTTTTATTTATTTTTTTTAGAAGAGATATTGTGTAGCTACCTGAAGCATGTATATTTCTTTTTAAATGAAGACAATCATACCACCTGTTTATAGAAAAATATATGGCAAATAAAATTATAAATTGCTGACATGACGTGCAGGCTTTTGGTTCCGTTTCCATATTCTATTGTCTCTGTCAAAAATAATTTCAGGTGTTACAATAAGCAAATATTCAACAAAACTGTGCAGTCCAAAATATAGATATTTATTTCAATTCATGTATTAAAATACATGTATAAATTATATCTACTATATATATATATATATATATATATACAGATTGTTTTTCTCTATTATGTACATCAAGTACAATGTGCTTTACAATCAACTTACATTCACATACAGTACCAAATATACATATTAAATGACATATACATTAATATACAAATACATTCAACATTAGTTACTCTGTATTTTATATCACTTGTTTTGGACCACATTTAAGCATTGTTTTCAGATTGTGCCCGGTTTCATTTCCTTATTTCATTTTCTGTTCTGCTTTCAGGCAACAGACAAAAATAAGCCTCAAAGACTTTTGCTTTGGTACCACAATCTTTTCTCTCTGAAGTTGATGAAACTAAGATACGTCTGACATACATGACCATGAACAAGAACAGGTTGATGGATGAGGTATAAACAGGAAGGGATTAACAAACTAACCCTGTGGCACTCAGTACCTGCAAGAGATCAATATAGATCTCTACTTCCTTTGTGAAAGTAAATGCAATGCAATCAGCCATTAAAACTAAAGCTACAGCATGAATAAATGACCCTGGGCCGAGGTAGCATGTCTCCATAGTGACAGCCTGTAGTGGCATGTCTCTGAGGGAGAAGATCATGTGCACGCATGTTGGGGTCCCTGTAGACAAGTCAGATGAAGTGAAGCAAAGGGCATGCCATCAGTGCCTTATCCTTATAGGGCCAATTAAGGTAATGGATGAGGTGAACTAGAGCACCAATTATGATTTCACTCATTGATGGAATGCTTAATGCAATCAATTAAGCAATACTGAAATTGCTACAGTTATGAAACAACATTACTCATTTATTTGTTCAAAATAAAGGATATATTTGGGTCTGTAAAGCATTTTGCAATGATCAGGCTATCAATTTTACATTGCTTGATCAAAATGTCTCTGCACAAGATATTTTTACAGTGGTCATACTGCAGTTCTTCCCTGCGAAACAGAATGTTCATCTGTTTAGGCTGGCATTACTAATACTGTGTGGGTGTGGAAAAACTTGTGTTTATGCTGTTTTGACTGCTCACTACCCTAGAACCGTGACATCATGGTCACCCTGAGTCAACACAAGTCTCCAAGTTTTTTCTTCAAACTTAAGCCTGGAGTGAGCTAAATGCATAAAAGAGTTACTGTTCTTTTAAACAGAAAGTTTTAACATATCAGATTCTCTAGAAATAAATTTGCATGAGTAGAAAATCAACATGAACTGAAATTCGAATGACCTTGCTTTTTAAAGTACGTCCTACAATTATAGTTACTGATTTATACAGTACAAAGACTGATTTGATAAAAAGTATTGCTGTACCTACTGAGTACTACTATTTACATGCTTGTCTTTGACTGCTACCTTTGGGGGAAAAAATCCCCAACTTAAGTTAATTTAATTTTGAAAAGTCAGATGCATAAAAAGATTTCAGTTACTGAAAACATAAACAATTAAGATGTAGTGACCAACATCTGTTTGTGTTCAGCAATACCATTTATAGTTGACCTTTACTCTGCATCAATATATTTGCAGCGGACACCTCTGCCAAGGCTGGTCCTCTGTGGTCGCCCAAGGCGAATTAGGCGAGGGAGGTGGTTCCAGGAGTAGGCCAGTCGGGCGGAGACCATATCGAGTGTGACGTCACTGAATTCTGCCCACAGGTTGGCGGGTACCGTCTCCTTTACAAGTTTGGGCAGAACGACAGAGTCTGGCAGAAACCCATTAACTCCTCCGAGGAGTAAATGGCAGAGAGCCCGAGACTGTAGGCTCTCCCTCAGACTGCGAAGAAGATCATCCAGCCGGTCCACAAGGTTGCACTCGTCCCAGGATTCAGGGGGTGTACTGAGCAGCAGACGAAGCCAAGCGGTCTTCAAAGCATAGGACGAGAGCACTCCTCCCCACTCAGCTCCAGACTGCTGGTCCAGAGTCTCCCCACTGAGGTTACGAACCTCTTTAAGGAGCTGAAGGCACTTCAGGTGACAAGAGTTGGGGGGCAGTCTACCTTTTAGCCAAGCCAGCAGTCTCTGCTCCTGTCTGGGAAAATACACCGTCCAAAGGTCTTCTCCTCGCTGACCCTGCCGGGATGCTACCAAGAAGGCACCATCGCCGAGAGGAAAGGCTGGGATCAGACGAATGCCCATGGAGATGTGGCAGCAGACGTAATCGGAGCGAGGGGTCAGGCGGAGGAGCACCTGCTGCTCCTCACTGAGAGCCAGGCTGAGGGAGCAGCGCTGCTCAAATGGGTAACGGATGGCAGCGAGGCAGCGCTGGGTGGCTGTGTAAAACCAGCGCTGGACGGAATATGGGCTCATCCTGTAGACCCTTTGAGCGTTGTGCAAGTGCATGAACGTGTCCATGAAGGCCTTGTGACGGCGTGTCCACTCCGCCTTGCGAGGTGTGTTTAGCGTGCAAAGCGGTGGCCCCCCAGGTTTGTCAGTGCAAACACCAGCCTCCAGTTTTAGCCCACGAGGTGCCCTCAGAGGCACGAGGATGTCAAAGCAGTCAGGTGAGCCCACCTTGTGCTCCTCATAGGAGCTGCCGATTTGGATGAAGTCACCACGGAAGGCCAGAGAAGACTCTGGCAGGACATCGGTGCGACCTACTCTGACAAGTTCACTCACCAGCTTGGCAACATGGGCTTTGCTGTGGCCCAGCACATGTGGAGAAAGACGCACATGCCTCTTGTAGTGATCGTCCAGTAGCTCTCTCTTGGAGACTCCTGATTTTACGTGGACCTCCGGGACTTTGTGGAAGCCCCTCCTAGCAGTGCCAGGTTGAGCTGAGCAGTACTTTATGAAGAAGTAACATAAGATAAAAGCTAGGATGTACTTGAAGAGCGTGACAGCTCCAGGTCCCTGGTCAGCGCAGTCATTCCCTTGGTCCTCGGCTCCTCTGAAGATGTACTGGTGCAATAGCAGCAGAGCAGTGAGGACGCAAGTGACCAGCAGCCAGAACAACCTGAGGTTGAGAGTGTAAACGCTCATCCTCTTCCTCCTTGTTCTCTTCTAGTCCACTCCAGCTCTATGGGAAAAGTTGGGGCTAGCCCATGTTGAACCACTCGCCCAGATGCTGAAAACAAGACCAAGCTGATGTTCTTTCCGTCCTCTCGAGCAAAAACTGTTGTGTAGGGGGAAGTTCACCCTGTGAAGTTTCTTTGCAGATGCGGCATGTGCCGAGGGCAAGAGGATTCCTCTCATTCAGGATGTTTGAAAATCCCCGCTTTTGTCGCAAGTGAGCACTGTGTGAAACAGGAGAGTGGGCTCTCAGTGTGTGAGCTCAGAGGAAATGCCAAACTCTTGAGAGAGGAATTTCTGTTTGAAAAAAGAGGCGTTCAAAACTCAGAGCCTGTCCACACTCCTCCTCCCTCTGCTCTTAAAGAAACAGACCTCAAAATGGGAAGTGCTTACTGACAGAATGGGCCCTTAACTTAGAGATTTAGACTGCATTATTACTTCTAAATACATACGTGGATTGAAAAACCACCCACATGATAAACATTTCAAATGTTAATAGTAAACGGTGCAATACTTAAAGGACAGTTCATCCAAAAACTCACCTTCATGTGGTTCCAAATCTGAATGAGTTCCTTTTTTCTGTGGAACACAAAAGGAAATTGTTTTACAGTAATAGCATCACACAACTCCTTTAGGAAAATGCTAGAAAGAAATTATAGAAAATGATGTCAGCAGGGGTGTGGCCCCTATAAACACAGAAGATCACTGAGAAAGATTACAGAAACACTGTACACACACACAAAGTATTTCACACAGCTCTCTGTGAAGGGAGTGTCACAGTATGAAATTTGTATCTTTGTTGATCCGTTAATGACCCCTAACCTCAGCGTGAGCCGTCCCCCGGTCACCCCTGACCCTGTGATGCTGAACAAGTAAGCATTGTCATCGCTCTCATTCAGTCCACAAAGTGTTTTTATACTGCTGTAAGGACATAAGCCTTTTAATATTATCTTGCTTTATGGACATAAGGTTTTAGAATGGCTTATTCAAAGCTTAGTCAAATACAATTCAATGCCCTAATCACACTATCCCAAATGCATAAAGTCCTGTGTACTGTGTACAGAATTTGAATTTAAGCAAATAGACAGACAGTATACGTACTTCATATCAGACACACTGAGGTGGCCACAAACAGAAAACCACACCTTTTCTGCCATGCACATGTTCCTACCAAGATCTTCTGATTTTTTTTAAAACAAACACTGCCCATGGCCATGGAGGTAATGCATCAAGTAAGGACACTCATAGACGCAGAACATAGTGGCACTTGGCTAAGTCACACAAACCTGTATGACCCATCAGAGGATAAACACAGAGACAGCTCGCTAAACATGGCTGACAGAACAGTTTAGATAACAACATAACTGGTCTGTTGGGACTAAGCAGATGACTGAGGAAGGAAGTGATGTTCATGACAGGGAACTTAAAAAGGCAACAGACAGGAGGCAATTACTGCTGCTTTTCTGCCATGTACCTTCTTATCAAATCCCTTGTTCTATTTTGATCAGTGTGGCCACCTCTAAAAATATCTAGCTGTCTGAAGGGTATCAGCAACTACAAAACAGCAGATAAATGCACTGATTATATGCTTTTACCATTGAGTTGAATGCAGCTCTCTGCCTTTTAAAAGAATGCCTTGTGGTTAGCATCTGTGTCCTGAGGGAAACAAGCTCTGAGAAAAAGATTTACGCAATTACATGATTCATAACACTAAGTCTGTGCATAAGCTTTTGAACACAATCCATACACTGTCAAAACTTGTTTGTAGTGAGCTATGCTAAGTTTACAACTCTTAATTTCTTAAATACTGGCAAATAGTTTACAATGAAATATCCAGAGATATTTTGTGTGTATCTTACCCATTTAAGTCTATGTAAAGAGCTTTAGCTCTTGGAAAACAGTGCGCTATAAGGACATGTGATCTGTTCACGATGAGCAACTTGTGCAGTGTTTCCAGATGGGTCAGCTTCCTCTGACGCATCACGAGAACAAAAGTTTGTATGGCAGCTTTTGCACCACATTAAGCCATTAAGCAATGCAAATATATGGGGGGATAAATTTAGAAATAAATTTTAAAAGTAGGAGAGAAAGGCAGTAGGGGCGAGAGGCAGCCTGTGGCTAGTGAGCAGTTGAAAACCTCACAAAATGTGGTCACAGTTGATGGTACACTGAAAGCTGAGGAATACTTGTAGTTACACTGGGATTGCATCAGCCTCCTTCTCTCTGAATGCGAGCATACAGTAGCTCTGACCCCTAACAGAACCTGCCAAACTAAACAGGCCTCTCAAGAACTTTTATCCAGTACAGTCAACAAAGAAGACTCTAGACAAAGTGAATGAGGGGGCCTGGAGCATAATTTGTGCATTTCTAATGGCCTGCTCTCTTCTTATCAAATCAAATTCACCAATTGACAACATACTGTAAAAACCCTCAAGACACTAGAACTGAAAGCCAGGGTCTCACACTCTCTGTGGACTGTCCAGGATGACTTCATGCCCTCATAGATTAAGTCATGGGAAGCACAGGGAGATGGTTACAGCCGTTTCCCACGTCTCTGCTACACAGATTATGCTACAGGTTTTCATAGCCACCCATGTGATAACTTCCCCTAATACTCAATGCAAATGTGTCAGACAGTATATGCGTATACGAAGATAACAAATGAGCATGTTTATAGCATATTATATAATATGTGTGTGGTCTCCAAAAATGACCAAAAATAATTTCAACAGTTGAGTCCAGATCACCCTGTTGTGTTTGGTGGTGGCTGCACATTACCTTTTACCTAACAGGCAAAGACTGCCCTCTTGTGTTCAAAGTTGTCTTAGCAAACACACATCCTGTAAAGACACATGACTTTAATAGCAACACAACTGTGATTGATAAAAAGTTACAGTATATTATTCTTGAATATAGCTTACAGAATGAGACCAACACTTTGGCCATGTATAAAATCGCAATAAATAGATTTGAAATATATTTATACTGCTGTGAGGAACACGTCATTACAGATGAAATATGTAATTTCTACAACACTAGTGCCACTACATTGAAACTGTAAAAAATATATTTTTTAACACAGGCTTTCTAAATATTCCTCCTACTGGTCACACAAAGAAAACATCCCAGCCTAAACATTGGCTGAGTCTATATTACTGTGTTGGGCAGGATGGGATGCTCAAACAAACAGAGCAATGCTTTGATAGAACCACAGTGTTTACACATTTTGGAGAAATTAACCCAAAATGGCTTGCTTATAGTTGTATCTGCAAATTAAGCTGGTACAGTAGAAAATATTTTTAACACTTCAAAGATCCATATTTACAAGATATTCGGATAACTCTTTTAAATACTCTGAAAATATTTATAGACTTTCTGAGACACAGATTGCAGCTTTGCAGCCCGCCTGTATGATTGCTTTCATCAGCTGATATCCAGGCACCTGCAATAAAGATGCATCATGTGTCAGAAAAACATAAAATGGCAGGATTTGGATCTTAATATTGTAGTTCATGCAAGACATTCTGTCATGGCAATAATTCAGACTTACGGATTCAGCATCATGCTCCAGTCCAGTGTCATGGTGCTCCATTTCATCATCCCGAAATTCTTTAATCAGCTGACAAAAAAAAAATAAAAATGTTGTGAGTAACATTAATATTAACATGAATTACATAATCTGCATGAGTGAAAAGAAGAACTTGCAATATTTTTGTGATATTAAAGAAGCAATTAATGTTTAAATCCTCTAATACATAAGGTCTCATAATAATTCTAGTTTCTTTGTGTGTGAAGTTTGAAGTCCGCCATTTAAGGCTTGAACACACCTGCAGCAGTTCGGTGTACTTCTCAGGATCTTTCTCCATTAGAGTTCTGATCTGACAGTTGTAGTGCTCTGAGATACTCTCCTCTACAGCCACAGTGCAGGCCATCGCCCCTTCCTTTCCCAAGAGAGCAGAGCCAGCGCCTGTCCAAAAAACAGACGTTTCACACACCAGAAGTGTAACTTTCAGATATGCTATATTTTATTCTAAATTCAATAAAGACTCTTTTTAGTTACAAATAACCCAAGGAGACACTGGAGTTTCACATCGTTTGACCAATGATTTTCCATGACTTTTCCAGTTGTCTGTGATTTTTATTCACGGAATGAAGAAGAATTAAAAAAAATCAATGCATAGAGACTCCACCTCCACAGGAGCAATTTCAGTTAAGCATTTTATTAAAGGGATAGTAAAGGAATAGAAATCCATTTGGATAAATTTAGCATTATATCACTTGCTCACTAATGCATCCTTTGCAGTGAATGGGTGCCGTAAGAATGAGAGTCCAAAAAGCTAATAAAAGCATCATAATAATTCACAAGAAATCCACACAACTCCACTGCAATGCTGCATGTTTGTGGGAAACCAATCCATCATTAAGATGTTTTGTTTGGACAAGTGAGCAAGTGATTTAATGCTACATTTCTTAAAATCTGTTCAGATGAAGACACATCTTGGATGGCCTCATGGTGAATACATTTTGTTTTGGGTGAACTACTCCTTTAATTTCTATAATTTTTCCATGCTTCAAAATTAGTATTTTTCTACCCTAATATTTACAGGTTTTTTATAACAAGGGGAACTTTACAGCCCATATGTTTTATTTTCCTGCGTTCTCCTGTATTCTTGAGAAACATTATATATATATTAGGGCTGTCAGTCAATTAAAATGTTTAATCTAATTAATTACATGTGTCGATTAATTAATCTAATTAATCTCAAATTACATTTGGCTGTGAAAATACCCCCAAAAGATTATTTAATGCTATTTTTGTGTTAAATGAGAAAGAATTAAGTAGACATTATAAATTGTAGCTTTAGAAAGGAATATTTTATTTTATTCAACATAAACTATGAAACATAAAAGAAGATAATTTGAGCAACATCTGTTTTTATTTTCGTTCATGCAGTGGAAGTCATTGGTAACCAAAACAGCTTTGTTACCAACAGTCTTCAAAATACCTTCTTTTATGCTCCACAAAAGAAAGTAAGTCATTCAGGTTTGAGTAAATGATGGCATAATTAAAGTTTTTTTTGGGTGAACTATTCTTTTAAAGATTTTTTCCCTATCTTTTCTTTTTTTAATGAAACAATACTCTAAATAAAAAACTAAAACTGCCAGCGGGTGGTGGTAAACGCCTTTATGAGTCTTTCATTCGATTCGTTCAAACGGCTGATTCATTCAGGAATGAGGTAAACAGCTCTCTCTATGAATGGGTCTTTGAATCATTGATTCACGCGATTCGTTCAAAACGCGGATTCATTCAGAAACTAAACACCGCCGTGTTGCTCGGAGACGCACAGCAATTCTGCTGTGGCTTTTTTAAGTAATATTTTTGTTGGCAAAATGGAGCAAAAACAGACAATATTGTGTTTTAAAAAAGAACACAATATTAACTTATTATTTACTGAACCGTTGTGTAAAATCACATTTGCACTCGTGGTATTCGGACATAAACAGCACTCGTGTAATATTGCTCTTGCTGCTTGTGTGATATCGCTTATCATGATATAAATATGAGACAAAAACTCATACAGGAGCATTTTTGCCCCAATATCTTGAATTTTAGGCCATAATTGCATTTATGAAGTTATTGCCCTGCATCATATTTGTCAACTGTATGAAATGCAAGATGACGTACAGGTCTGGGGGCGGGGACAGTGCGTTAACTGCATTAAAATATTTTAATCACGTTATTATTCATAACTAAGGTAACGCGTTAAACTGACAGCCCTAATATATATATATATATATATA